GTAGGCGGCCTCTCTCCCGTCGAGGTTGCAGCGTGGCCCGTTGTTCCTGCGGTCGTCCGCGCTTCCTCGTGCTTCTCTGGCGACGCACTTCCTTTCTCCGTCGCAATCGTCGCCGTGTCCGCACTGTCGGCTGGTAACACCAGTCTGCGTGCCTTCTGCTTCGGCCGGCTGTATGGCTCGCACAGCGGCCGCGGTCGAATGGGAGCAGAGGGTTCTTGATGCTGCTCCTCTTCAGACTCTTCCCTCCATCGCCGCTTCCGCGGCACTCGTGCTGCAGGAGTGTGTCTCCCTTCGTCCCTCCGTCTTGATGGGGTAGAAGTCGGTGACTCCTCTGCATCAGTGTCGACCTCATTCTCCCGCACATACTTCCCGGGATGGTCGATGGACAATGGCGGAAAATGTTCAAGCTCCGCCGCTGTCAAACAATTCCGCTGTCGATAAAAATTGATGAGGAAAGGAGAAAGATGGTTTAGAGTCCCCCCCCTTCTCCTCAAACGCGTGTTGTCGCATCACCCTGTGCAGGATGCTCGCCCAGTGAATTGGAGTTCCCTCGATGACGCACTCCACAAAAGAGACCTGCCACAATGTGATGTAGCAGGCGCGGTGCGGCTGCAGTAATTGCATCAGCGCCGCGGACAAAGTCCGGCGAAATCGATCCTTGTAATCACGGGTCCTGTACCCATTCTTGGTAGACCTCCCGGTCTTGAACAGCTCCACAAATTGCGCCTCTTCCTGCTTGGTCACCTTGATGCTCTCACTGTCGAAAAGGAGATGCCCTGGCATGCCAGCACATCTTCCCAACGCCTGCGCCCAATCTTGGACTGTCCACCGATCAACATGCGGACGCAATCCGCGCGAGGGTGGTCCCTGTGGCTCTAGCCACTCGCGCACCATATTCGCACAGATGTAGTTCCATCCCCATAGCAAGAAATCGAGCTTTCTTGCTATTAAGCGCTCCTCGAAAGCGCGCAGCCCGTTCTGCGGTAGGCGAAGTGGCACCATCCGCAATCTGCTCGGTCTCGTCATTGCGTTCCTGGGGTTCGCTCGCCCGCTCATTCTACTTCCGCACCGCCCGGGCTTCTTTCTCTCTCGGCAAACTCTAATCGCCCTCAATTCCAAATCACGCGCATTCACTTCTCCTTCAATCAACAAGAAATCTCCTGTGCGACGACGTCGAGAATGTTCAGCAGCCAGCAGATGGATGCGCGCAGCGCGCACAAGAGATTGGAATCGCGAATTCAAGAATGGGACGTTCTCCGCCGCCCGGTCGAAGGTCATGGTCGGCTCCTGCTCGTGAAGAACGTCTCACTTGATGGCCGCGCCGGCTGTACGCTGGAACGGTCTTCGCTCTCACGCGCGGCTTCACGCTCCGCCGTCGTCGATTAAACTCTCACGCTCGAATTGGCGGATTTGAACTCCGCGAGCGTATTACCCCGCGGACATGGGGGCGTAGCGCCGAAGGCGAGTTTTCCGCCTTGCGCGGTACACTTGTTCGTACCGCCCCTCGGCCAATCCCCCTCTGCCTTGACGCGTGTGTCCGCATGTCGGACAAAAGTTCAACTCCTGCCTGTGCGCAGGCAGACTCCTCTGCGGATTCTCCGCCGGCGCGGAACTTGAACATCCTCCTGTGCACAGGCGTTCGCCTGTGCGCAGGCGAAGTCCGTGCGCGGCGCTGTGCTGGCGCGGAAGGCGTTGACCGTGGTCAGCCGTCTCCGTCCAGTCTGTCCGTTCCTTGTCTCTTCGTCGGCGCTTCCGCCGCCGCAACTCCGTCCGTCCAAGAGCGCATCCACCCGTCCCGTCCGCATGGTCCGTTCCGATTTGATTACTCTGGCGGCTCTTCCGCCGTACGCGGCGCTGCGCTGGCGCGGAAGGCGCCGTACACTTTCTACCTCACAAGGCGCATTTCTAGGGCCCAAGGCGGATTTTCCGCCGACGCCGAAGCGCCTGTGCACAGGCGAGCGCCTGTGCGTAGGCGGACTTCGCGCCTCTCCTAACCCTACTTCGCCTGTGCACAGGCGAACGCCTTCGTCCGCGCATAGGACGAAACTTGATTCCCCCTTCCGCGTAGGCGGAATTCGCGCCGGTGGCGAACTCTTTCCGCCGTAGGCGACCGCCTCCGTTTCTTCCAATAGTGATAACTCCCTAAGTCCTCATCCGTTCCAAGCGTTCTTGGACTCGTTGGAATCAGTGCGTCGAGCTCTTTCCAACGGGACCTTAAATTGGTCAAGGCGCCCGAGGGTGGACCTAATTATGGAGGGTTTCCCTACAGCCGTGGACGCAACCTCCGAAGGCGGGTTTTGCGCCTTGCGTCGTAGGGGTCCTAACTGCAGAGCTCGCAGGGAGGGTGGTGCCTGTCCTCACTGCTGCACCCCAAATCCCAGATTCCACAAGATCCCTCGAGAATCCCCGCGATCTTCCGGATTCACTCCATTTTGATGTACCGAAGGCTATTTACAATGCTGCCAGGGTACAGTTTTCCAAAAATGTTTTAATTTCCTCAAAATTGCCAAAAGTGGGGTACCACACAAACTCTTCAATAGACTGTTGTTGTGTTACTGGAATGTTTCTCAGTGAGTCCTTTAGTGCGGACCTGTGTTCTCTGCGCGTTTTGTGAGTTGAGAGTGTTGTTCACCGCGTCTGAGTGACTTCGATCCGAAGTAGGCAGTCCAAACCGGGTTTCCTACACTAGCAGCAAGCTAGTGGAAGTGTTGTAAAAGCCGGAGTTGGAAGTCACTACCCGCAGCTTCGCAGAGTGTACTCTTGAGAGACTTTCCCCCTGAAATCTTGAAGTAGAGGTCCTAACGGATCTCTGGGTTGTGTTTCTGTAGTTTCAGGTGTGTGTGTGTGTGTTACGCTGCACTGTGCGACCTCCGAGTGCGCTCCGAGTGGACACTTGCAGTATTTCTGGGAGTGACAGTCGCCTGAGAATTCAAACTCCTCAATAGTCTGTTAAAACGTGACACTTTGTACCCTGTGTGTTCCTCTGTCCCTGTGGGTTCGACCTTTCTACCACTATATTGCAGTTTTAGCCTTTAGTGGGTTATTACAACTATGTATAGGTCAAAAAAGTTAGTTTGTAGTTTGTTAAAAACTTAATATTGATAAAATCACACTATCAATCAATGAAAAGTAAAATAAAATGAGATTTTGTATAATTAAATAAAATTCCTTTGAATTTAAGCTTTAAACATTAATTGAAAATTTAGATAAAAACTTCTCCCACATAATTTAACAACTTTCACTATTGAAAATTAAATTAAAATATTTATTGAACATCTTGTGGCTCAAGTGGAACAAATATTTGCTTCACAATATTATCTTCCAATCCTATTTTTCCTCAAATGGTGTAGTATTTTTCCAACTTACTTTAGAATTAATGTTCATAAAAAAACTATTTGCTTGTTAGTCAACCTGATCAATGTATTTCTTGGTCTTAGTTTGCCTTTTATGTCTCTCTTTAAAATTTATTTATCTCTGTTGCAGAGACAAATACTCTTCCACAAGCTAGATCTCCGTCGCATTACACTTAGATTGTCAAATAAACATATATTGCTAACTTTTTTCCGAAAGAATCAGATAGATGTTTTTAAACACTAATGAATCACACTTGCAAATACAATGTTTGCCACTTTTATTTCTCACATATCTTTCCGACGTACTGATTTTTTGGTCCTGTTGCTTAGATTTTTTTTGTTTTTCACACAAACAAACTCAGAAGTCTGCAATTTCTTGCAAATTGCAGGAAATTGTTTGTTGACGACTCTTGTATGCATATTGTGATTGGCGGAAAATATATCCACTTGTGATCAGCCAAAACTTCATTTGTCAAATGAATTTCCAATTCCATAGTGTGGAAGCATGAAATTTCCTTATGTTTGCATAGTGGAGCTACAGATTTCATCCGTTAGCTTCTTTGTTTGGACAGATCCAGTTCAAAGAGCAAAGCATAATCTCACTAATTGATCTCCTCCATGTTAGTAGTTACTTAACTATTTTGTAAACCATAACCAAAATGCTCATATTGAGTTGATTGGATGCAACAACATTGTGACACCTATTAAAGATGTTGGAATTCCTAGATACATTGAAGCTGTATTGCAAGTGAAATTAATGCAGTCTCTTTAGATTGGAAATTTAAAGAGTGGAAAACCATGATGCTTTATTTTTTTTGAATATACATAATACATAGTGATAATATGATTATGCATATTTGATAATTTATTGTTGAATATAGATATTGCATATATAGTTTTGTTTACATTTTGTTACGTAAATTATATACTAGCGTTTTGTTATTTACATGTGACATTACAATTAAAATCGAAAGGTCTCGCAAATGGTCTGTACATGATCGTGATTTACAGAAACGTGTACAGCTTATAGTTGCATAGATCGATCTCTTCTGTGGATCATCACTAATTCCCTGAGTATCATCATCTACAGCATAATTCGGGATGTTACCTGAGTGTTTTTCTCACTATCGGAGATACAGTCTGTAGATGATGGGATAACAACTCTCAGTTAAAATAATGACAATGGGCATTTGAGTGAGGTTGATAGGCTGTTTACGAGGTGTGCCTAAAGGGAGAAACGATACCTACAACAATGAGATCACACAAATCACATATCTACTGACCTGACTTGCGTAAAATACAGCAGACCGTTCGATAACTTGACGCTTATTGATCAATTAACAGACCTTGAGCCTAGTACTAGGCCTTTAAGAAGCTTGTTACTGTACATTTTATGATTTACATGCTCTTTGGGAGAATCTACGAAGGGAAAAAGTGACTTGTAGATGTACTGTAACATTGGAATTTTTTCTTTCAAACGTAATCTTATTTTCGTAGTTTTTTTCTTAAATAAAAATAAAGGAATAAATATCTTTATCGTGATTTACATCAAATTTTGTTCAATAATAATGTTTTTTAACAGGTAAAAATAAATACATCGGGTGAAACTAGGGACGAGAAGGAGCATGTATGAACTTTTGGCGTAATATGATTAATAAATCATATTATATAGAGTTTTTTTTTTCCTTAAATATCGATTGCAACACGTTTATTACAAATCTTCTATATTATACTTTAAGTTTTTTTAGGAGATTTCACGTGGAGGAAATTTGATAGAAATACATAACATCTTCAATTCATCTGAATACACTAGGAAAACGAATGTATATCTCTTAGAGAACTTGTGCAAGTCTATTTACATTATGGTTCACATGTGTCATGTACAAATTGTAGGTGACAATTAGGCGGTAATTAGGGGCTCTGGCAGCACACTTAAAGTGGAAATCGAGAAACCAAGAGGAAATACGTCAAAAAATGTCGCATTCCTTTATCGATTGGACCGTTGTTGCACTTCCATTGAAGGTGGCTAGGGCTGGGGCTGCTGCGGCCCTTGTGGGCCTTGTGGGGGAAACGGAGCGTTCTGCGGGGCCGCATTGGCCGCATTCAACTGATTTATTGCGCCCAATTGCAACATGCCTCGCTGTTCCCTTCGAACTCGTTGGAACCAGTTTTTCATCTGCAGTCATCCATTTCGTTCTAAGTCATTCGACTCACTGGATTTATAATTCTACGGTATGATATTTAAGTTCACATCTTCGCTGGATTTGAATCGATGCAATTCAGGTACTACGATACAATATTCTTGTAGATTCGCCCCACAATCTACAGATCCTTGTCAGATTGATCTGAGATGAGCATGCTGATCGACCCAGAACACGGAATGTACGATTAAGTATGTACGATGTCGAGCTCTCTCGACTTATGAAAGTCGGTTCTTCCGGACAAGTCAAATCATTTCGAGATGCAATGTACAGAATGGTTATCGATTTCATCCGATGGTGCCAGAAACTTATTGGTAGCAGGTTAGTGTAATATACCCGATTTTCCGGAACTCTAATTTCCTGAATTAACGCCTGTTGCTCAACTCTGGGTAAGTCTCTCCAATGGGTGTCTGGAAATCGGGCAATGACGTTGCTGTCCACACGGGGTTCAAGAATGTTGTTAGTGAATGTGGATCCCCAACAGCTTGATAACAAACTGTTGGAGAAATCGCTAGAATTTGTGTTTCCCATTCTGTCACTAAAAGGACGGCCGGTACCTTATCTTGCTCAACTGAATATAAAGCTAGAATTTTCTAGATCCATAATCAGAAAAGGTACCAAGTAATACAGTATGTGTTGTACTTTACTAATTTATTATGCATTGTACATGATTTTTTGACATCTGCGTTATAAGATCAAGATCATACGCCTTGCGCTATTGCTGGATTTCCTAGATTGAAATTAGACACGTCAAGGTACTGGAAGATATCACGACACTGTGACATCATGGCCTGAAAATTCTGTGGAACAAACCAGCCCTGTAAATTATATCATTTCTCCTTGAGAGCATATCTTTGCAAACCATTAGCGCGTACAACTGACCATGGTTTCTTTCTGCGGGTTCACACGCACATGAAGATATTGAAATAGAAAAACCAAGTGATTCGTGAGTAGAAAATTTGTTCGACACTTTATAAGGATTGTTGAACTGTAGTCACCTCCATGTGAATTTATATTATGAGGTGACGACACTCAGTGGAGGAATATAGTTATACGAACTTGTACATTAACGAATATTGAAAACCTGAGTATTGCCCTTCAATTAATGTAACTCCTCACACACTGTCATCGAGTTGAACATAAATATGACAACTCTCCGGGTGGGATGCAAAACAGACAAAGGGCATCGGAATTGCGCTTGAATTCTGAAGTGCGTTTGAGGTTTGACGCAACAGTTGGACACTTCCGATGTTCAACACTGTCAGTTGTTACGAGTCCCAACCAGTGATAGTAGATTTGACCCCAGTGCCTATATGATCTCTAGTGCCATAATCTCAACAATAATTGGGTGTCCTGAAGGGGATCATCATGCATTTTCCCGTCTGACGCAAAGGGTAAAATAATTTTGATGACAGTAGCAACATACCGTACAATATTTTTTTCTTGTGCTGTAAACTTGCGTTCCTGAAAGTATAGCCGATGAGGACGTTCAACCCAGGCTTCCATTTGTCGTGTAACAGGGTTGAATCTATTTGCTTTAAATTTCCATCTATACTTTTTGATCTACATCATGAGGGGCAAGGGTTCAGGGTACATGATTGCTCGATTGTATTGCACCAAAGTGTTACTTCGAAGTGAATACCATTTCAAGCTAGTGGAATAAGAAGATTCAAGAAATGACGTAGAGCTTCGAGTAACATGCAACAGGCTCTGACTGAGTGAAAACAACTACAATCTGACTCTTTCGCCTACAAAGATCCCTTGGACCTCTATGAATCTGTCGATTATTCAGATATTTTTAATGAGTCCTTTACCAATTTTCCAGCAGGTTTCAAAAAGAGTTACATAAAGTCGTTGGAGAGTAGAACTTTCAAATTTTTTTTTCTCAAAATGATAGTCTTATCTATCAAAATGGACAGGTTGTATGAAATTTGAATAATAGGGGATTAAAGTAAACGAAAAATTCGTCCTATACTCAATGAGGTATACATCATAAATTTTCCATTCCTAGTCGAGACGCAAAACATCATGAAACTCGACACATGAATTTTTTATTTCCGTTTCCAACGAATTAGTGCCTTATGGATGGGAGGAATCTGAAACCTGGGGACGTTTGTGAGTTCAAGTAAACCTAACAAGTAAACCTTCATCCGTTGTTTCTGACAACTATTATTTGATTTTACAGCATGCTGTATCTTTCATTCACACGTTCTGGGTACCGAGATGAACGATCAGAAGCGAATCTGAGGACGCAAACAGGTGTCTCGAACAGCCAGAGCCGAACCATGTCGAGGAAGATCGTTAAGTGACAATGGCGAAGAATTGGGAGGTCCACAGTAGCTGACCTGTTGTGGCGTCAGTCCCGTTTTTTGTGCTAGATCTTCTTCTTCTTCCCAAATACTCATGCCTTGGACTTGTTGTTGTGGAAATCCACCGCCTAGCACAGCATTTAAGTTGTCGATATGACGATTGAGAACGATTCTTTCCTGAGCCCATTGCCTGCAGTACATACGGTGGAAACAGGTAAATCAATGTAGTGATGACTTTGCTCCGAAATGCATCCTGAATCCATTCTACTTTGTACCCATCGAACCACTTTTCCTTGTCGATGTCAAATGCAGCGCACAGCGCAGATCCCGTGCTTCTCGTTCTCATGAATTTGACCAATCACCTCGGCCCTTGTTCTGACTTCATAATGCACCGTACAGCTCGAGTGCTTGCCGGACCGGATGAACTAGCACCGTGTGAATGATCGAGACGGAGAACCAAGCTTTCTTCGAAACGCTAGCTTCAGAAACACGTTCGATTGGTCGCCTTGTCCCGCACGCACGTCCAGATGTCGGTTCCGAGCAATGATGCTCGTCGTCTAGAATGCATGAGACGATTATTAACTGCGGTTCACTGCTTTGTCATAGCCTCAAGCCCGGTTGGCGCGATCGATGCTTCTAGAATGCTGCAAGCTCAATGTTCTTCGCAAGCAAAGGCGAATGCCAATGTCATCTGGACAGTTTGGTTCGGTGCTCACTCCATTATTTGGTGAACATGAAGAGGATAAGTCGTGATAACCATCCTGATATCTCGTTGGTGCAGGTGCGAGGTTAAGCATCGTGTGGTATCCTGGACACGTCAAAAAGAATCCTCAGATGGAGAATGCGCATGTAAAAAGCGTTCCATTTTCTTCTTACGTTACTTTATCTGGCAATGCATCACTCGTTGGACTGCCCGGCAACGCAGACGCTGAAACTGGAGGACGATGTAGCCATGTATCGCAACACAAGCAAGTGCACAAGCAACTGGTAGCTTCTGTGCAGACACAAAGACCAGCATTTTGCACGGCTGAATATTTGTGTGCAAGCATCTGTGTTTGTGTGTGTGATACATGGAACAGGTTCAGGTACTGACGATTCTAAACTTGTTGAGCAAGCTGGCTTGCCGTGAAATTTGGTTCATATCTATAATTTCATCCCCGAACTTCTGGAGCCAGCAGTGAATCGATGGATTCTGGTCGTTGGGGCAGTCCAACGCGATATGTCTTGGGATGAATATGTTAGTGTCCTGTGCAGACAGCTCAAGGTTTATGATTCAAATCAGTTTCATTGCCATCAGATTACTTTGTGTTTCATCTATCAGGGATTCAAATGCGGTGGCTTTCGTCAAGCTTGGTCGCCGTCTACACGAGAACCAACGAGTTTCGATCCTTCTCCTGCGCGTTGAAGGAATGAGTGCTGCCATTCGGAGAAAAATCTGATCATAAGAGAACCTTTGCAAACACATGTCATCAATGGCCACAGCACGAAACCACAGAATGAGATGCATGTCCCCAACACCTGCATCTCAGGCTTAGTTACAGTACCTCGTAGAGAGAGAGGAGATGATCGAGCCGAGCCCGCCATTGAGCATTATTCGCATACTCCAGCCATGTGGGCCTGGGTACTGTCCGGCTCATGACGTTGCTGAGGATCTGTCTCTCCAAAAGGTCCCGTTCCGCACGTAATTGAAGCTGAAACTCAGCGGGTGTATATGTCCGCTGGACAAGTGGCTGCGCCTGTAAATGAGCATTCCCGAGTGCGGGCGGGTCATACGGGGGAAGAGCAGGTAAAGGTCCTGGAAAATTACCCGGGCCGTCAGGTACATTTACAGGTGGTGGGTGGGGCGGTAGGGTCAAGTTAGGTGTTGCAAGCAATATTCCCCATACCTCCAGGGGGGCCGTTTAAGTCCTCCGGCTGCACAAAATTCGGTACTGGTGCTTGTGGGTTTGGATCGTTCACCGCCCTGCACAGATGCCGATCATACTCTGAAACGCTATCCATAATAGTTCTACGCATACAGTGCTTAGTGACCAGATGTTCCTAGTAGACTGTCGAGTCGTCGTCGTTCGAGAGGTATACTAGTTTGTTGTAAACTCGGCTTCTGAGCCTCGAGTTGGAGAGGATGCTAGTGAAAGTATTGGATTTGTTCCGAAGAAATCCTCCACCTGAATATTGTTCCAGGTTATGGACACAAGTGCAGAACAAGTGGATCACTTGAATTTGAAAGTCTCCCGGTTACCTGATGATAATTGTCCAATAGAACTATCTCTTCGTTTGCCTTTGGCCTGCGCAAAGCCTAAGCAATCTGAGGGTGCAATCTTGAGTTTATGTGTCTTCGTTGGTGCAACTTTTGACAGAAGTATGGATTAATTCAAATTTACGATGTCGACTGGTTGTGCATGTCAATATGCTTATGGAAGCACGTGCTTAGTTACTGGAGTGGTAGAAATTGTTGTCCTAGACTCCTAGTGGTGTATTTTTGATATTAAACCGACCTACATGCCGAGTAACCGAAGCAGGATTCTTCCAAATACTGCTTCATGTGGTCTTGTACTAATTGATGCTACAACCCTATCGCACTATGAGACCTATCTAGTTTAAATATTCCACATACTACAAAAATTTCTGAAGAAACATGACACTATTTATATCCCATGTATTTTAGTAGTTCGTGATTTATCTTGAAAAATGGACACACCATGACAAAAAAATATAATACATACTATGGTATTTTTACCATAGTATAACGATGCCATAGCCATGACTCCACCTATAATCGACTTTTGTGATACTGGTCTATTACATGAACTAGCTTCATGTCTACAAGTAACTGCATTCTTCATCCATGTCGTGATGGTGGAAATCTTCGTTCTACCGACATTCTGATAAATCATGTCGAATCAGTGATATTTAGGAAGAACTGCCGTTGTGTAGATAGAACGGGTTCTATTCATGTGATATTCGAAATCAAATTGATTACCTTTGCATTAACTCCTGCAAATTCTTAAGTGCAGCTTCATAAATTGGATTTGGTCCGTTAACATTCTGCTGACCTGCTGGTCCAGCGCCGTCCCTGCACAATCCACGATATCATACATCTGAATCGCTAACAATAAAATATATATACATACATTGCTGTGAAGCCAGATGTTCCTAATAGCCTGTCGAGTCTTCCTCCTTCGAGAGGTGTACTATTTCTTTGTGATCTGGATCTGAGCCTTACATTTTAAAATATGTTACATAACACTCTTGATGTCCCGGGGACGTTTATAATTAGTGATTTATGTCTAAAATGTATATCCTAGGATAACATGGCAAAGAGAGCCATAACCATGACTCTAACTAAGTAGAATTTTGTGATACTAGTCTAATATATAGCCTAGCGTCATGTTTACAAGGAACTGTATTTGTCATTCATATATTGATGGTTGGAAATCTTCGCTCTATTGATATGCTGGTACATAATGTGAAAACCGTGAATATAAGGAGGAATTGATGCCGTTTAGATAAAAGCTGTTCTGGTGATGTGACATTCGATATCAACGATCTGTTCTTTACCCCAAATTATTCGGATTGTTTCCAGGTTGTCCATTTCCTCCCTGCCCTCCTCCCTGCAGTGGATTGTTTCCAGGTTGTAAAATTCCTCCCTGCCCTCCTCCCTGCAGTGGATTGTTTCCAGGTTGTAAAATTCCTCCCTGCCCTCTTCCCTGCCCTCCTCCCTGCAGTGGATTGTTTCCAGGTTGTAAAATTCCTCCCTGCCCTCTTCCCTGCCCTCCTCCCTGCAGTGGATTGTTTCCAGGTTGTAAAATTCCTCCCTGCCCTCTTCCCTGCCCTCCTCCCTGCAGTGGATTGTTTCCAGGTTGTAAAATTCCTCCCTGCCCTCCTCCCTGCAGTGGATTGTTTCCAGGTTGTAAAATTCCTCCCTGCCCTCTTCCCTGCAGTGGATTGTTTCCAGGTTGTAAAATTCCTCCCTGCCCTCCTCCCTGCAGTGGATTGTTTCCAGGTTGTAAAATTCCTCCCTGCCCTCCTCCCTGCAGTGGATTGTTTCCAGGTTGTAAAATTCCTCCCTGCCCTCTTCCCTGCAGTGGATTGTTTCCAGGTTGTAAAATTCCTCCCTGTCCTCCTCCCAGCAGTGGATTGTTTCCAGGTTGAAAAATTTGTCCCAGCTCTCCTCCCAGCAGTGGATTGTTTCCAGGTTGTAAAATTCCTCCCTGCCCTCCTCCCTGCAGTGGATTGTTTCCAGGTTGTAAAATTCCTCCCAGCCCTCCTCCCAGCAGTGGATTGTTTCCAGGTTGTAAAATTCCTCCCAGCCCTCCTCCCAGCATTGGATTGTTTCCAGGTTGTCCAATTCCTCCCTGCCCTCCTCCCTGCCCTCCTCCCTGCAGTGGATTGTTTCCAGGTTGAAAAATTTGTCCCAGCTCTCCTCCCAGCAGTGGATTGTTTCCAGGTTGTAAAATTCCTCCCAGCCCTCCTCCCAGCATTGGATTGTTTCCAGGTTGTCCAATTCCTCCCTGCCATCCTCCCTGCCCTCCTCCCTGCAGTGGATTGTTTCCAGGTTGAAAAATTTGTCCCAGCCCTCCTCCCAGCATTGGATTGTTTCCAGGTTGTCCAATTCCTCCCTGCCCTCCTCCCTGCAGTGGATTGTTTCCAGGTTGAAAAATTTGTCCCAGCCCTCCTCCCAGCATTGGATTGTTTCCAGGTTGTCCAATTCCTCCCTGCCATCCTCCCTGCCCTCCTCCCTGCAGTGGATTGTTTCCAGGTTGTAAAATTCCTCCCTGCCCTCCTCCCTGCATTGGATTGTTTCCAGGTTGTCCAATTCCTCCCTGCCCTCCTCCCTGCATTGGATTGTTTCCAGGTTGTCCAATTCCTCCCTGCCCTCCTCCCTGCATTGGATTGTTTCCAGGTTGTCCATTTCCTCCCTGCCATCCTCCCTGCCCTCCTCCCTGCATTGCCATTCTGAAACCTCCCCTACACTTGTATACAGGAGATCGGATATAAACTATGCAAAAATCTACGTTGCACTAGTACAGAAGAGGATCGTAATTTGCAGATTCGACGATTTAATGTCAACGCGTCAAGCATTATTTCGCATCAGAACTTTCCAACAATTATTTTCTTTCTAATCTTTGGAGCTCCTTTATATTATCTCACGGCCCCAATTATACGGATTGGGTGACCGAGTTTGGGGAATTCTGCTCCACTTTGAGAGAATCACAAAGTTCAAGACTGTCAGAGTAGGATTCTTACAAATTTGACAGTACATCACCTGCACTTCTATTGCACTTGGGACCAACTGAATAAAAGCTGACCCTTTAGTGAAGTCAGCGTCTTCTCATGGTTATGAAACACACGCAATTATGGTGATAATCACATCGTGCTGTGTGAAGTTGCTAAATAGGAAGAAGAAAAAATCGTTATCGTGGACATCAGACCTGATCGATCACAGAGGCTAGTGCTACATTAAATTATCAGAAAAACATTGATGGCATGCGAAGATCAGAAAAACTATTATACACGAAGTTTGGGAATATTTTTTTGGAATTCAACAGCGTTCGGAGGGCGTACCTGTTTAAGCGTCCTTAAAATCTTCGCATGAATGATCTTACCTCAGGATGACGAGACCTTGAATCTGAATTGTAAGATTAGATGTTGAAATTTCAAACCAGTCGAATGGAGCGAGCTCGCACTCAAATCAGCACGCTCAATACGTTCAGCACGCGTGATCGACATCACAATTCACCATTTATTCGGTCTGCTAGGATCGACCAAAATAAAGACATTAGATCCCACGCGTCTGCCCTTTCAGTTTCAATATGCAGGTTAGCCCGTTTTGCTCAGGTGATGTAAGATCGAGAAGACGTGACTGTTCGATCCTTGAAGGGTTCGTGCATTCGTACAATTAGCCATAAGGCATTCAGATCAAACTGAGAGCTCCGGAGTTTGACAAATCGATGTCGACTAAGAGTTGATGGAGCCCATACCGATTCTGTCGACAGCCTTAAAAGAGAGCAATGCGATGGGAACATATTAGATCCCTCATTCTTCGATCCTCCTCGAAGATCTTTCCTCGCTAGTTTGAGTTCATGTTCTTCGCTCTGCAAGTAAATAAACTCTCGCATCTGTTGGCACCCGGCGCCGCTAAGTGAGAGCCGGAAATCTGGCATATGCGTGGTGAGGACTCGGCAGCACCACCATGTTGAACAAAAAGGAACGATGGCAAAAACCGCGAGAAACAAACAAGGCCGACGGAGGGAGAATGGCAAAGCTGACAGCAGAGAAACCTGTCCCTGTCCAGCCAGATCATATCTCATCTGATGTCTGCTGCGTGGAAATAATATGACTTTGGGTAGCTAGTAAGTATCATGCAAAGTACTGGCGAGGCTCATGTGACCCGTTTGGGTTCATACCTCTGGGGTTTCATGCAACCTTCCTGTCTTTTTGCTATATGACTTGGTACCCCGCCTTTCCATCAAACTCGTCCAAAATCCACTGCACTGATAAGATATACATTTTCCGCCTTGTTACAAACAGAACGAAGCATCATCCGAGGCAATTTCACTTTTCTTTGAGCAGATTCGCTATCAACGTTAAGATTTGTTGGTACGTTTGCTCTACTACTAACATGGTCATCTATCGGCGAAGTGCAATTACATCTTCAGAAGAGCAAAACGTGTTCTATGGATACAAAGCTAGAAAGGTTGAGAACATTAGAGTAATATAAAGAAAAAGCTAAAACATCTGAGATCTTACAGATGCGGAGTAGCCCAAGTATATGTATTAAATTATAATAAATATTACATATATTTTGTGGATGACATAATAATTAAAGTCTAGAAAGACACAGAAAAATAGAAAGAATAATATTATTATTCTTTCCATTTATCTGCTATTCAATATCTAGAGTAACTAATTAGAACTAAGATTGTTTCATGATTTAAAAAAATCTTTATAAATAACCTAGATCATAACCTGAAAATTCTGATAAATTACATTGGTCAGATTCACTGTGGTCTTATCGTTGCCTTCTAATTTCATTTTTCACGTGTGAACGTTCATTGATCCTTATGTAGATTGAAGTTTGTGCTTGTGCATCTTCTCTCGCGTACAGATGGATGCAAGACAACAACTTGTGCAAAGTGACAATTCAGAACATCGGTTTCATAGACACATAAGTTATTCAAGTTATAAAAAATACAAAACCATACCTATAATTTGTCAGAAAGCAGAGACAAAACCGAACCAAAACCTTCCAATGTGTGCACAGGACTGTAAGTTTGAACTAGACTTGGAGGCACTCACATTTTCTTGTACATGCTGACAAAGGCCATTTGTTCTGCTGTGCAGGGTCACAGTCTCCAAGTGGAACCGGAGATTGCACTGAAAGTTTTCTCTGGCAATCAGTGAAGGCTCTTTGGCGGTTCTGTCAGTTCTACCTCTGATTTTCCATGACCATAATCGTTCAGGCCCGTTCGTGTTTCAAAACCTCCATTTGTTATAACCGTGATGTTATCTGAGCTGGAAAAGCTATTCATTATATCTTGGATCTAATTGATAATGTCGATGAAAATTTTAGGACTAAAGTGTACATTTTCACAGGACTTTCATACTCTTTACTCGAGGCAGTTTTATGAGCATCTCTAATGATGAGTGTGGGATTAACAGCTTTCAGAAAAATACATCAATTTTGGCACATAACAACGACCAAGGTAAGCTATAAAATATATAATTTGCGTTTGTTTGAGTGTCCAACCCATATTTTAAAATATTTTTCCTATTTTACGTCGTGTAAGATGACGAGTAGATATTATGTTTGAAACATTTATCAGAGACAAATAAAAGTGGCTGAGTATATACCTCATATTGCACATATCTCAAAATAAATTCCAAAATTATATAGTTTCTGAATAGTGCACGCAAAGTTTTGTCAATGAAGCATGTCTTTCTTTTGCTTATATCAAGTCTCTGGCCAATATTTATATAACTTCTAAGAGCTACATAACAATAGTCTGGAAGTCTAAGTTGCACAGAGAGAGGTGTAGTTGACCGGGTCATCAGTGAAATTTCCAGCGAGTACCCCATAAGGGCGTTTTGCCTGTAAAAGGCTTCGGTAAAATGTACACCATCCCAGTTAAACTCGTCCGGGTTTGCACACTTGTCGGACCCTGCATTACCACAAGTAACGAGCGGGTTGTAGTTGAGGGTCCCAAAGTCCAGGCTCTCCGCATCAGGCGCGCTTGGTCAAAGCTGGTTGAATCCTGTCATAAAATGCACAAGAAGCCAAGAGAACGTTTCAGTACAGTTGTTCACGCATTCAAAGAAGAAGTCTCCAGTACAGTACTATGTATGGACTTAGATTTCTGATCCTGCAACTTCAAGGTGGGATAGAAGTCAAAATATACCGTAAAGAGATGGATTTGTCAGTTTCCAAGTTGGCAGTGTAGTTGGAGATGGAGAAGGTTCTGCTAGGATGTAAAAGGCGAGCAGCTGCTATTGTATCATTAAGAGCTTTGTGATAGGCTTGATCCAGCTGATTGATAAGCACAATACATCCCATAGAGACTTTTTGTACCCCGGGTAAAATTCATCTCGAGGCAGAAATTGTTTGAACGGCACGCCCGCTGGATAAACAGTCGCAGTACAAGTAGATGGTATCAGTTGTTGGAACTCATAGGATCATAAAGCTGAAACCTTATGCTCAGTGTGAGCCTAAACTCCCCACCTTTCAGCGTTTGTAGTCCAGGTGGGGGTTCAAGCTCCCATAATCCAACTTCTCTGATCTCAAACCATGTGGTCAAAGTGTATTCCACACAATGAGATCATAAATACTCGCTTTGCCACAGACAATTTGTCCAAAACTGACACTAACAACTTGCTGTCTGCTATTTTCACAAGAGCAGCAGACAAGCTCTTCGTCACATAAAGATCTAACCCAACTATGGGTGACTTTCTCAATACTACAGACGCTGTGGCTTATACTAGAATGAGTGCCACATCTTAGACACACTGCCTCGGACACAGTCAGGTGACGCACCAGCAGCACAAGGTGACACCCTTTCTAACAACAACCTTCACACCCAGGGAACACAATTCTACTCTCAACACTTTGCTCGATTCTTCCTCTTAGTGATAAACTCAGTCTCAGCCCAGCGATCCTCTTGTCCCTCACACACACTCTTCCGCTCAGCCCTCCGGCTACACTCTCAGCGACTCCACGCTTTCAACACCCTCGCTCTCAGGGATCTCACCCTCCTATCAGATTCCACCCACAATTTCGAGTATCAGATTTCAGTCTCACACCCTCGGTTCCCACCTTTGATTTCAGTCCCACTCCCAATTCCTACTCAGGTTTCACTGTCGATTTCTCAGTTTCCACCTTCAGATCCCACCAGATTTCTCTCTCAGATTTAACTCTCACTTTTCAGTTTTAAATTCAGATCCCGACTGTCACATTTCAGTCTCAGATTTCACTTCGATTTCAACTCTCACTCTCAGAACCTCCACTCTGATTTCAGCTCCCACTCACAGAGTCGACTCTCCACCCTCGAGAGTTCTCTCCCTCCTCATTCGAATTCTCTACACTCCCCTCCTAATTCTCACCACTTACCTGCAAAAATCACTCACATCCACACTCTACCATTCTACCGATCCCACCTGCGTCTCCCCACAATGGCACACCACACGATCCCAGCTTGCAGGCCGAATAATCCTCTCCAACGTCCAAGGGCCGAGATGCCCCCACGCCGCATGAATGCCGTTCCCGCAATGATCGCAACGGCCTGCTTCCCATGTGCGACTTTATGCCCTGCCATACTATTTTCCATGCTTGACTTCACGCCGCCGCCACTGCCACACCTGTACAGTCTTCATTCATGACCACGCCAACATCCGCCGTCCGAAATCTTCTTCCGCGCACCACCGAAGGCATCCTCCGCCGAAGATGTGGTAACCCACTTTTTGTTTTTCGTCGGAATTAGAACATTTTTGATTAGTAAGTACCGTGGTAGCAGCTGTAAATAGTAATCGGTACGCAAAGCCAGAGTAAAAAGAGGATCGAGGACAGTCGAGGGGTTTTGGGCTTAGGCCACAGTGGAACGCTTGGAATGGAACGGGCGGTTCACGCTGCAGGACTCGCTTCGAGCACCTTCGGCGGTAGATCACTCATAATTTCCTCAATTCTTAACGGCTTGAGTTACTTAGGGTCTCGTTGGAAAGAGCTCGACGCGCTCGTTCTAACGAGCCCAAGAACGCTTGGAACGGATGAGGACTCAGGGAGTTGTGACTGTCGGAAGATGCGAAGGAGAACGCCTACGGATAGGCGGAAGGAGTTCGTCGTCAGCAGAATATCCACCTTCGGCCCTAGATGTTCGCCTTCGGCGACGGACGTCTTCGGGTCAACTTCAAGTCGGAAAACTTGAGGTCGGCGAACTCGAGGTCGGAGAACTTGAGGTCGGCGAACTTCAAGTCAGCAAACTCGAGGTCGGAAAACTTGAGGTCGGCGAACTCGAGGTCAAAGAACTTCAAGTCAGCAAACTCGGAGTTGGCAAACTTGAGGTCGGCGAACTCGAGGTCAAAGAACTTCAAGTCGGAGAACTCGAGGTCGGCAAACTTGAGGTCGGCGAACTCGAGGTCGGCAAACTTCAAGTCGGAGAACTCGAGGTCGGAGAACTTGGAGTCGGCGAAACATCGTGCGGGCGCCTTCGGCGATAATAGATAACAAGCCTTCGACAGTGTGCCTTTGGCGAAGGATAAAACCGGCATAACTCTTTCAACTCGTAACGGTTTGACTCAGTTAGGGTCTCGTTAGAAAGAGCTCGACGCGCTCGTTCCAACGAGCCCAAGAACTCTTGAAACGGATCAAGGATCTGTTAGTTATGGGTGTCGGGAGTGACTGTTACAAATAGGCAAAGGTGCGTCTTCGGCGGTCAACGCCTTCGGAGAACTCGGAGTCGGCGAACTTGAGGTTGGCAAACTCGAGGTCGGCGAACTTCAAGTCGGCAAACTCGGAGTCGGCGAACTCGAGGTCGGCAAACCGGATGCGGTTCAGAGATCTTGCGGAGTCCATATCTTTGCGATGGACGGTCGGATGGATCTGAAATTTGGTGGGGCCGTTGATCTCAGTCGGCCACGCATGCCTGCAAATATTCAGCCTCAGATCTCGGATGTAAAGACGCTGGCGGCTCTGTACAGTAGGCTTAGGATTCAGATTTAGGGTTAGGGTTAGATTTAGGTTGTAAGTTAGAGGGGAAGGTAGCCGCCGACTCCTCAGATGTAGGATCTGTTGCGGCTCGCACCCTAGCGGGTAGTGTAGTGTTAGTTAGGACCTTAGAAGGTATAAAGTAGTTCAAGGCGTTTTGCCCTGGGACTCTTCCAGTTTCGGAAGTGCAGATCAGGAACTCACTTTCTTGACGTGTTTGTGCATTTTGGTCTTGGCACCACGTAGAGAAGCTGTAGCATAGCGAAGTTACCGTATGTTGTAGTTGAAGGCCTTCGGCTGAATGTTCAGAGCTAGCACCCGGTTAGAGACTTGAGTAGTGCGGATCTGCACTTGCGGGTGATTTCTGATGCTCAGAGCCGGCTGCGAGTTAGATACTTGAACAGTTCCCCCTTACTCCTTCGAGTGACATATCCTGATTGTACTCCTATGGGAAGTTTCCCCTGAATGCCAATGTGAAGTTTTATTACTTCGTGTAAGCCTTGGTTTGCAATTCAGGTTGTGTGTGCGTTACTGGATAGTGTCTCAGTTAAGT